GGGGGGGTATGGTTTTGCAGTCCCATGGCCGACGTCTCTCGCTCTCCATCTCTCTCTCTCTTCCCGCCAGACAAAAACTTTTTCGTCCCATCTGCAGTGAGGCTGATCATGTAAGTTGAGAGAGCCATGTATGTACGTAGATTCGGCAGGCAGCCAACTATAGGGGAATATCCGGTCACCCTTTCGCATGCTGTGCTACACGAGAGAGCATTTTAGAGGCGAGTCAGTTGGGTAAGCCCACCCGTGTCCATGTCGTCCCCATCCTATCATCATCCTGCCTTGTGGAATAGTGTGTAGAGGTGGACTGCTCTGCAAGACTGATGAGAGAATGTCCGTCCCTCTGTCTGTCTTTTTTTTTTTTTTTAAAAAAAAAATTAAAAAGCAAGGCAGGCAGCCTTGAGGGCGACCTAGTGAAGGATGAATGAATGAATGAAATTCTCTTTTCACGGTACTTGAGCGCCCAATCTCGGGGAACATTGTGAAGAAGCACGACATAGCCAAGGCACCGCTTTGCCGCTAAGCAGGGATGGCAGTGAACTGTATGTATGTGCTTAAGCAGGTAGGTACCTTATCTTCAAAAGGTTGCACGCTTGTGCTTGAATAATCCTGTCGAGGATCTGAACATTACCTGTCTGTCCTAGCCATCCAAGTATGTACTTCAACCTCAGCTGCAACGGGGTCGGGATCCTCAACGACCCTTCAGCCCTTCCGATCTTCGAGGCTCTTCGGGAGGAATCAATTACCAGCCTAGTTTTGTGACATCGGGCTTCCAAGCACCACGAGAAGGAGATATTTATCAGCCTTTACCCGCACAAATACCATGATCAATATTCATCTATACTAATATGAGCACAAACGGGGGAAATGGCTTCTCCCTTGAATTATTATTCTTCTTCTCTATGATCTATCTTTTGGAAATTGCGCCGGCGAGAGTCTCTTATTAAGACTGACGACTCTCCACGGCTTATCGGAACGGCGGGCATCGCTCGTCAACCTGCCACCATGGGCCCTTTTCGTCTGGCCTTGATTCGCGCGTCAGGACCCATGCATTAGTCAATTGACATTCGTCACCAAGACACTGTGTTTTCAACTCCACATATCACCAGTCAAAACACTTAATCTCGAAAGAACAAAAATAAAAGAAATAACTCTAAGAAAATCCAATCTATTGTATAACTTCCAAATTATTTTTCACATTTTTTATGGTAGACTTATGGCTGTATGAAGTTAGGCTATCAGCCAGCGAATGTCAATTGACTAATGCATGGCTCCTGGCGTCTGCCAGCTGGGCTGGCCAGCTACTGCGTAGTTCTGGGGGAAGAACTGGGGCGGATGGAGGCTTGTGGGAGATTGCTGCCGATAGTCGTCCAGTCTGGTCCAAGTAGCGACCCCCATTCCAAGTCCATCCCATTTCTCAATCCCACCTCCCCTGCAAACAACACCACGTCAGGCCTTCCCCCAATCCAGGAGGGCAAGGATGGAAGGGGAATAAAGGAGCTGGGTACATGGCAGGGCGATGCTTGTGCCGGTGCCCTGTCCGGTCGTGCACAGTATGGACTCCACCACCTCGGCACCGTTGCATCATATCCCGGTACAATGTCGTTCTGTCTTGTCCTGGCTGCTGCTGGGCCCTGGCTCTCGAATCGACTGAGAAGACTGCATGTCCGACTAAGGCTGGAGATATGTAATTATTCATGTTCACAGTATATTAGAAAAAGAATTTCGAGTCAGCGGCCCGGGATTTTTTATACCTTGATAGCTAGGTGAGGTGCAAAGTACAATAACTCCAATATAAACACTTAAGGTTTAAAGCAAGCATGTTCCTCTGCCCGGGCAGTCGGCATTTCGTTCGCCAACTTCTGAATTTGGAGGTTCTCTCGGATTTTGCGGTGCCGAAACAACCATGGATGAAATCCATCACGTACTAAATTGCCCAAGGAGACGGGTCATGCCTGGATGCGTTCAAAATTGCTCAAGTTCACTATCGACTCGCCTTTGTTCTCGAATCTTTCTAGGCCTTTCCTAGATGCCGGCTTATGACTCGGCTCGACTTGATGCTATATAGTATCGAGCTCCCCTGGACGGGAGACTGAGTCGAGTCACCGTGGCCGTCAGAGAGTGCCGGATCTATCCACAGCGACCTGTGCCAGAGATGGGAGGGGTTCTTATTTTAAAGAAGGCAAACAACGAAGGGAAGAGTCAAGTACATACCAAAATTTCTTCCTGGATGCCTGCCCAGCATGATATCCTTAGGCGCCATTGATGCATCGGAATAGACAAGCAACTTCCTAGCCTCTGGACGATCACCATTTTTGTTCCACGCTGCCTTGTTTGCTGACAGCCAAGAGTCTAGGGAGCAGCCGCTGAACTTTATGGACATTCCTTCCGACGTGCATTTCTAGAAAACACCAGTCTCAAGAAGGATTCTTACAAAGGACAGTCAGCAGTGCGGATGAGCACCCAGAGACATTTCGGGTCCGTCCATCAACCTCCGTACGTGTCTCAAACCGTCCCCAGCTATGGCGCGGCGAGCCATTTGTCCCACGTTGATGACACACTGGAAGGCTTGATGACAAGTCAAGTATACCACAGAAGGGCGCTGCGAAAGTTGTTCCCTTGAGTATCCGTTAGGATGGATTCTACAGGTGTTGGGATTCCCGTATCTACTTGCATCATGGACCTTGACACTAGATTGCTTTTCTCTCTTGTTGATTACCCAATACTTCGAGGTAGGGCATGTCTTGTGTTGCTTTCTTCCTCAGCTTCATGCGCACCATTGAGTATATATCATGTCAAGGTGCGCCGGAGGAAAAAAGAAATTCATTTCTCATTCGGCATCATGAATTCCAAAACACTGCCGCCGCCACTGGATGGCTTTACCTAGATGTTGTGCGACAAACGTAACCCCACGTTACTCGCTATACTGACCGGCTTAGGCAGGGTTAAGCTTGGAGAATTGTACATACCCAATGTCTGAGTTGGTCGTTCTTTCGGGTAAAGCAAGCAAGCAATCAACAATATCATTATCATCATCTGGAGCCCTCCTATTTTGGCTTCATAGCAATCTCTGTCTTGATTTCGTGCACACACTACTACTCCAGCAGATCATCAATGCTTTCTCATCCCCCCGTCATGGGATTTGCAAGACTCGGCAGCCGGGGGATTCGGGGATCTGTACCGCACTACAGGTTACGTACAGCCATGATCTTCCAACGAACTATGACCTCGGAACCAAAAGTGGGTGCCGCCAAGTCAACGGCGGACATGAAATATCTGCAAACCGAGATTATCCCAGGTCGAGTTCCTTTGACTCGTCTCGAACCAGATCCGCTCAAGTTTGATGGGCATGGGGACCGGGCACACAGACACATTGGCGATGGATATTCTGCTTGTAACGGGGAAACCTTGAGGGTACTGTGTACGGCCAACACCGAGAAACAAGTCAAAAGCGGCCAAGCTTTCCCCAATCCACCGTCATCCAGATTGTGAAAAAGACATGCAGAGCCCTGCTGCTTTGGCGGCCCTTCCCTGGTCTGAGCGTGGCCGCCTTACGTCCGAGCTCCCGTACACAGTATTCTGAAATGGACCCCTTTCCAACCCCATACTCAAGAGGATAGACATGTAGATTATAAAAAAGTCCGTGGTGATATATAATGCAACATTCTCCTGACAAGGCCTTGGACCCTACTGCTTTATGGACCTGATGCTTTGCCTTGAATAGGAGCATCATCACGACTTTCAATTGCCACCCAGGTTCTATATGAATCAGAAATTAAACCCGATGGAAGAGGGTGCCAGAACCTAGAGTGGTATCTGCAAATAATCATGCCCCTCCTCGCGCACGCCGTAATTGGACCTCTCTTTGCAATGGTTATATAGTTGTACTGAGAGCATGAAGAGAAAAGAAAGAGGGGGAGGAGAACCCACCACCTGCTCTTACATGATTTTCATATACTTCAAAGTTTAGATTCTGAATAACAAACAGATGATATAGCCCCATCAGCAGTGAACAACAAGTACCACCAACCTAGTAACGTGCTAATTTAAGCAGTCTAGAGGAGAACATCTTCCAGAAAAGAAAACGGAGTCATGACGTGATACACGTTTCCATGTCATACATAATAGTCCCTGCTTGTCTGGCTGCTAGAACTGTTCATGCTGGAGACTGCTCTATATATTTATATAGACGTATAAAAAAAAAGGAAGGAGAATTGTGTCTGGCACAGGAGAGTCTAAATTAAAGCGGCATCAGCGCTAGGACCAACGTGGCGTTCATGACCTAGTCTTGTCGCTGGTGGGCTCTGTGACCTTCCTCCAACTCGAATGGAGGTTTCTCTCTTTCTCCATGCCTCTACTCACTCGCTCATTGCTTCGTTGGCAGAAAAGGGCGCATTGTCAAGTTGGGAGGTGGTTTCCGCAACTCGCCCATGATTTTGGAGCGAGAGGAGAGACAAAGGCAAAGGTGTACAATTCCTTGCCAAAAGAACAAATGCTCCAGAAATAGAGTCAGATGCAACCTGAACTGTATGTAGTGTGTGTAGTGAGCCTCCTCAGTTCACGTCTCCCCGGATTGGTTGTTGCGGCAAACACACCCGACGACATGGTCCTGGGTACGGACAGATAGGGGAGGGGAGGGGTTTTGCCCGTTTCTGACGTGCTTCTCGTCTGAAATGTAACGGCATCAGGTCATATGCACATTGTCGGCACAAAACAAAACACAGCATTGAAACATTGCGCTTGAGGGGAGGGTAGACTTGGCTTTTTTGGTGAGCAGTTCGTCTAGGCGCTGGCAAGCTAGAACTGTTTGGGATACCCAGGCGCCCTGATTTGTGTGTCCTACTGCAATCACTGTCAGCCTGCGAGGTGTGTTTTGGGTATCTAGGCAGAACTGTGTAAAAGTAGGTGGGTAAAAATAAAGCCGTACATGTACTGTGTACTATATGCGCAGAGTTGGCATTGTGCAGGACATGGTTACGATACTTGCACGCGCAGAGTAGTATGTGAATCTGGTCGGCTGCAGCATTACAATGGTGGTCATTTGTTAGTGTCGTCCGCTTCTGCGTCTTGAATCTCGTTCCGTCGGAACACCTGTCAAAATGTGGCTAAAGCCTTCTTGCGGCAGCGGCCCGTTGGGAGGATTGAGGGTGCTGCCCGTCCGAATTATCTGTACGAAATACTTGGACGTAACGTCGCCATACATGGTACCGTGAAGCAAAGTGTTATTATACCTTGAATGTGTGGGTGTATACTCTGCGTCATTTCTCCCGTACACGCAGCCCCAGCCAGCTCGAGTCAACCTAGGTACCTCTATCCATCAATCATGGCTTTGCAGGTGGATTTTCAGGCTATCCCCAAGATCGAGGTACGTAGGTCATGGTAATGATTCGCTGTCCAAACACGTGCCACCACCATCCGCATCTTACCCCCTCCAAAGAAAAAAAAAAAACACCAACTCAGCATGATTAAACATTTGACCAAGTCGATTTTCATTTGTGCCTATACAACAATGCTGTGGTTCTAATCAATGCACATGAACAAGTTCATGAGCACGAATATCCGTACAAGTCTGACTGATTTCCCATCATCTAGTTACATGCACATCTATCGGGTTCCATCTCGAGACAATGTCTCCACGAGATATGGCTCAAGAAGAGAGAAGCTGACGCCACAGATCTGGAAGACCCTTTGGTAGTTATGCCAGTAGGCAAACATGACTATGATTTGAACACGTAGGTGCTCATGTCGTCCAATATTTGGGGTTGCCACACTCGATGGTTGCCGCGGAACCAACTGAATCGTTTTGCGCACAGCTTTTTTCCACTGTTCTCCTCGTACATCTACCACCTCGTCAATGATCGGGATTCGCTCGAGTACTCCACCAAGGCGGTTGTCCGTGAATTTGCCGACGACGGTGTCGTCTACCTGGAGCTGCGCACAACACCGCGCGCCATGCCCGGAGCAGACTTGTCCAAGGCAGGCTACGTCCAGGCCGTGCTGGACGCCATTGCGGCCGCTGAGGAGGAGAACGCCAATATTCGTGTGCGACTGATTCTGTCCATTGACCGGCGCAATACGGCGGCCGAGGCTGATGAGGTGGTTGCCCTCGCCCGGCAGTTTGCCTCCTCTGGTGTTGTGGCCGTCGACTTGTGCGGCGACCCAGCCCGGGGCGACGTCTCCCTCTTCACGCCCGCCTTCCAGGCCGCTCGAGATGCTGGGCTCAAAATCACCATCCACTTTGCCGAAGCCGAGTGCAGCGCTTCAGACGCCGAACTCGACACCATCATGTCGTGGTACCCGGACCGGCTGGGACACGTGATCCACGTTCCGGAGCGTGTGAAGCGTGTCATCGAGAGTCGGAGGGGCATTGGGTTGGAGCTGTGCCTCAGCTGTAATGTACATGCCAAGATGATCATTGGCAGTTTCGAGGCACACCATTTTGGAGAGTGGTGGAAGGTTGATGGTGTCGTTGTCGTGCCTTGTGTAAGTACCGAGACCGAGATTATGAATGACCTTGTCACCCGTTAGGGAAGACGCCCTTTACACACATGTGCTGAGAAAAGCTGACTGGACACAGACCGACGATGTGGGCGTCTTTGGCAGTCCCGTTTCCAACGAGTGGAGGCTGATTGAGGAGCACTTCAAGCTTGAGAAGGAGGAGCTCTTTAAGTTGGCTAGAAAGGGCATCGAGGTCATCTTCGGCGGAGAAGACGACAAGGAGCGACTCAGGGATATCATGTGGTAAGTCAATGCAGGTACAGAAACGAGCTATTCAATGATGGAACAACACAACATATTGCGCCCAGAGTTCATTCTCGAGGAGGATTGGTCAGGTCTATTATCTAGGATTACTAGTGAATATGCTCGAACATTCGCCCAGCAGCAATTTGGAAGATATCTTGGCTGCCTTCATGCCTCAAGCACCTCTTGAAACTTGTATGGTCAATTACTTCTGTTCAATTTGAGACTTCTTATAGCATTTTGGCAAAGTGCCTCGTGATTTCGTTGACCGTGATACAACCCTGCCTTTACTCCCAAAGGTTCAAAAACCATCTCCATGACTCGAAAGGCAGTCGATGATACTGCCCCAATGCCAATAGCCAATACTCATAAACAATGCTACGCTTGAAAAGAGAATGCGCTCCGTAAATCTTAAGCAGTTGTATAATTACCTCCAGCTAGACCCACCACGCCCAGAAGTGCTCTTGTCACGAGCCTGCTGAAGCACGGATCGAAAGTCTCTGTAGAGAGCGTCCACAGTTCTATCCGCTCTCCATTTGTCCACGATTTCATTGGCGGCCTTTCTGCGCTTCTTAGCCTTCATCTTCTCACGCTCCTTAAGCTTTGCGGGCTTCATGTGTCCGTCCATTTCCAGCCGATCTTCGACCCACTCCTTGAGAGCGTGCTTCCAGTGCATGAGAGTGTGCGCAGTCTCGGCATTGCTACAACACGTCGAGCCAACCGCCCATTCCTTAGATGTCGGCAGCAATTCATTGCCCTGCGTGTCCACAGATCCACGGCTTGACACATCCGACTCGGAATCTGACTCCACCTCTTCAAGGGTCTCCTTATTATATGGTTGGCCTTGGAAATGAATCTTCCAGGTTGCCGGATGACCACTTCTGCCACAAGCCTCGCAGTGCACGCCCGCGGCAGCATCTCTCCAGGTCTCGTATGCCTCCATTTTGGGACGTGCTTTCAGGCTGCGGTAGAATTCTACCTTCCAGGCAGACGAGATGAACTTTGATGTCGCTAATCCACTCACCTCATCATTAAGCTTTTGCCACGCATGGGTATAGATAGGATCCTTGCGATCAAAAGCAGGGTTGATCTTGTTGTGGACTAGCCATTCGACCACGTAGGGAAATTGCTCCTTGGCCGGTTTGCGAGACTCTGCGGTGAATTCGTAGGGCATGTTCATATGATCGGGAGCACCGATTGGTGTGTCGTCATCTTCGACAACAAAGTCGTCTAGGTCACTGTCATCATCGCCACCACCGGGCTCATCCTTTTTGACCAGAGACTGTCTTTTGGGCTTGCGAGAAGACACAGCCTTGCCTGAAGACTCGTCATCGTCCTCGTTCTCTTCGTTCACCTCGTCATCCGGGAAATCCTCGAGAAACTGCAACGAATCGTCACTAGCGGTATCGTAGAGACCTCTCTTATCTTCCTCTGTGTCCGATTCCGAGGACGTCAACTGGTCAATTTTCTCGCCTGCGCGTCGGCGCTTTAATAGCTCCATATTCTTCTGTTTTGGAGTACGGTGTCCTTTGTGACGCTTGGTCGGGGATGAGGATGGTTGTCCTCTGCGGATCAGTCTTCTGCCAGGTGTCTTCTCTAATTCTGAACTTGATGATGGCGAAGATGGCACCTGTATTGTCTTCCTCTTTTTGGCAGGTAGATCCGAGTCAGAACTGCTTTCAGACTCAAGGGCTGGAAGTCTTCTTGCTCTTGATGAGCTTGGTTGAATGGGCTCATCGTCGTCGTCGTCGTCAGTATCACGAGTGACTTTGTCAAGATCGCCATTATCATCAGTACCATCATCATCGGACTCCAAATAAGGCAGATTCTGTTGCTTGGTTGCCCCTCCACCACGGCGACGACCCTAGTTATGAGAGAAGAGGGAAAAATTAGCCTTGATGTTCTTGACTCTCATAAATGTAGATGACATGGGTGAGTGGGAGAACTGAATGACAATTCCCAATGAGGTCACGGAAACCACAACGTAGCCGCCGTGTTGAATATTCAAGAAAGAAAGGGAAAAAAATGAAGGTAAATAGAGAGGAAGGTAGAGGGAGAGATAAAACGCAAGAATGACTCGAGTACTTACCACTGGTACATGGAGGACATCGTCATCGTCGTCATCATCGTCATCATCATCATCATCACTGTCGTCGGACAGAAGTACGACTCCGCCTCTCTGCGACTGGGGCATGAATGATACTCGAGGTTTGCTAGACGGAGGGCTTGCCTGACTACTCTGGCGTGTTGACCTTGTGTTGCCTGGAAGCTTTTGTGAGCGAGTGTACAAATAATTGATAGTTTGTATACTTGTAAGTAAAGTCCCCTGACCATTTGGATAACCATTTGGTCAGAAAGGGACAAGAGTTTTCGCATTGATCAGCGAAAGGTCGGGTGGGAAAGTGGAATACGAAAGACCGGTGGGTAGTTACAACAACCCGGTGCACTTACTTATAGTGCCCTGAATAGTTTTCTGCGTTGCCTTCTTCTTCTTTTTGGCGGCGACAGGTCGACTGCTAGTCTTTGACGGCGACGAAGTCACTTGCGACGAGCCAGCATATCTCATGTTGGCGGGCGAGAACTGAGACTGCGACGAGGATTGGGCACCTGTAGGCTCAAAGGTGAGGCGCGCCTGGCGCTTTCGTTTGGGCGCCATGATTTGCTCCGTACTGAATTGGATACAGAATATTGAAATGTCGAGATCAGGTTGCGCAAAACGAAAAGCGTTGCGACAAGGAGAAGGCTGGTAGAACTGACATTCAACAATGTCGCAGATGCTCGTTTGAAACGATCGGGCTGGGGATCGGGGCAGGAAGCAGATTGCGCAACGTGACGATGATGATGGTGGTGGGTTGGGTGATGAATGGAGGAAGGATACCTAGATAAAAGGATGGTGGGGTGAGTTGTGCGCAGCTTTGGCATCAGGAAGCTGCGTAATTTTTTTTCTTTCCCTCCCCCAAACCCTTCCTATGTATTCGTCGTCCCAGGCAACAGCGGCAACAGCAAAGGCGTTTGTCAATTTGATTGTAATTTCTGGCAGGAGCAATAATTATCTCTGTGCAGCGGTGACAAGGAATCCAGCCAAAGCGGACTGCCTGTCTGCCATTCAACACGGTTGGCAACTTTTTAAACGCTGGTGCTGACGCGCTCTCATATGGAAAAAGTTGGATAGAAACCATTTAGTACTCAAACGCGACATCACGTGACAAGACAATCAAGTAAGAAAAGGTCATCAACGCTCCTAATTGCTTTGTAATTTAATCTGATTTGGAATTGCAAATAAATAACCTGCATTGAAGTTGCTATGATTGGTATTTGCAGTCGATTCCCTGTTGCATACATGACTGTGCAGCAATTCCCGAGTCACGGATTGGCTGCAAGGGCCTACAGATTATTCTCCCTAGCAGCATACCACAAAATGCTATAGTGATAATACCTTGGAGAACCCACGGGTAGTCCCATCGTTGTCTGTTCAACGCCGAGAACCCCAAATCCCAGCTCGGGATAACTACAAGCCCCAAGAATTAAAAAAAAAAATGAAGAAGAAATAACATCAAATGATGGCATTCAATGTGCCATGGATAGAATAGTGTGTCAATCAAGTTGATCAAGTGCCATGTAAGTTGCGCGACCAGTTGGACTAAAACACCAACATTGGGGGACCACCATCCAAGGTTGGCATTGATCATTGACATTTGATCACATTTGATATTGTAGATTTATGCCATAGGGGAGGAAGCAAGAGAAAAAAAAAAGAACAGAATGATCTCAAGATAAATCACAAATCAGATTTGCACTCCAGTCAATTCAGGAACACTTGATCATTCGCAGTGTCGCCTTGAGTCACAGTGCGTGCGGCGCATTAAAAAAGAACAAAGTGCTGCTGCCTTACTTATTAGCGCTTATTATAACTAGGCAGGCACCCAAATAAGCACGCGTGCAACATATTGGTCATCAACCATTCCACCTTTCTTGAGGACTCGATAAGATTGTGCATTCTTTCATGATCGTCTTCCATTTCAAATCACCCAAAATTCTCGCCGCCTTTGCGTTCTGCACCGCAACAAACTCTGTTTCAATATGGCGTACAGTCGCTTTGGTGTTGCAGACACCACACCTGCATCGCCTCCCGACGCCACTCTGACGAGCGACCTCGAAGACACCATCTCGGCCCTCTCTTGGTCGCCCGCCGCCAACCATCTCGCGGCTGCTTCCTGGGATGGCAAGGTGCGCATCTTCGAAGTCGCTCCCAGTGGCTCGGCAAATGGCGTCGCCATGCTGAAGGCAGATGGTCCACTGCTCAGCTGCGACTGGTCCAAGGTATGTCCATGAAGCCCCCTCTAACTCTCCCATCTACAGCGACCTGTGTAATACACGCGGGGCATGATAAAAAAAAAAAGATTATTATATTTCACAAACCAACGTCCAAATCAATAGGTAAGTTGGAATCCCTAAGTTGGTGTTCATCTCTTTGCATCCCTCTGTCTGATTTTGAATACTAAGCATATAATGGCAGGACGGAAAAATGGTCCTCGCTGGAGGTGCCGACAAGAAACCGCACCTGCTTGATTGCCAGTCCGGTCAACAAATCACCGTTGGTTCTCACGATGCTCCTATCCGCTCTGTGCGATTCGTGGACCTTCCCAACACGTCTGCAAACATTATCGCCACGGGCTCCTGGGACAAGACGATCAAGTTCTGGGACATTCGCCAAGAGTCCCCCGCTGTCACCCTCCAGTGCCATGACCGCGTCTACGCCATGGACTCCAAGGCTCAGATGCTTGTTGCTGGCACGGCAGACATCAAGATGCATCTAGTTGATCTGGCCATGCCGTTTAGATTTTCTCGCACTCTAGACTCACCCCTCAAGTACCAGACCAGATCAGTCACTGCCTTTCCAGATGGCAAGGGCTGGGGCACAGTGAGCATCGAGGGCAGGTGCGGTATGAATGCAGTTGATGAGAAGGATCCGACTGGGTAGGTCAACGTCTACATTAGAGACGTATACTTTTCAGAAACATGATTCAAACTAACCATTTGCAGCATCGACTTTACATTTCGCTGCCATCGTGGGAGTCCCGACGCCAAGAGGGTCACTCCGGTGTATGCCGTCAATGATGTACAATTTCATCCAGTTCACCACGTCAGTTTCAGCACCGTTGGTTCCGACGGCACGTACAACTTCTGGGATCGTGTCGCCCATGCCCGACTTAGAGCCTACCCTAATGGTGGAGGCTCGGTTGGAGGCTCAATCACGAGTTCCGCCTTCAACAAAGATGGAGACATGTTTGCTTATGCCGTCGGTTACGATTGGAACCAGGGTCATTCCAAGAATACCCCCCAGTACCCGAACAAGCTCATGTTGCATTCCGTCACGGAGCACGACGTTACTCCGAAGTCAAAGAAGAAGTAGAATGGGGGGGATTTCATGTTTGCTCTGGGTCAGAGCTTGAGAAAGACGCATGTAGTCTTTTGTTTTCGTTTTCTGGGAGCAAAAGGCGTCCAGGGTTGATATTGGCATGGCACTCATGTAAAAATGTGGAGGATCTCCTTTGTTTCCATGGGGCGTGCGTCCGTCCTGTGATGTGCAGAGACGTGACGTTGGACATGTGCAAGACGCCGTCAGTACTAAGGGGCGGTAGTATTGTTTATTGGACTCAATCAGTATAATGAGGTCAAAGATTCTATTCTTTCCTTTGGAGGAGGGAAACTCAAGGGGGTATAGAGCAAGGCAAAGCAGCAAGGAGCAAAGGATACAGAACCAAAACCAAGAATGAAAGCCGTTGTATGAATTTCACCCACTCCAAACAATCCCAAATATGCAAGAAAATGTACCGATAGAACGGTAATCGATGCAAATCTTCTCACAAGCCCAGTTCATGCCATAGATTGTAAATTTTGTCCCTGATTATCTCGTGTCCGAGGGTCCGGGGATGGAATGTTTTCCCGTAATACGTCGGAACATACCACATTGAGTTCTCAGCAACGACTTCTGTATGGGCATGTCTCAGCGTCGAGTCCTCTGCTTTTGACATGGCCATGTAGCAAAGGGCCAGCAACCCCCAGTCTCCAGAGCGAGTGGCCGGCTCGAGACATGTACGCGGATCCACCAAATCTGAATGGAGCGGAAGAACATCAGGCTGCGCCTTTTGTGATAGAGATGTGTCGTTCCTCGCATTGTCGGGCCCGCCAACGAGGAAGAAGTATGTGTCATTTCTCTGATAGTCGGGCTCCACGACGCCGGGCTCGCAGAAGCGGTGGCCTTCAAACTCGCTGTCGTAGTCGACAAACAAGACCTTGATCCCGGCGAACTGCGAGTTGATCTTGGCGACTGTTGCCTTGATCTTTTCGTTTACTGCCTGGACCATGATGTTCATTCTGACTCTGAGCTCCCGCTGCAGCTTCGGCCCACGCCACCACACCCCGAGACTCATTTCGTCGCATTCGGGGGTCTGGTCGTTGAAGAAGCGCGCGTAGCCGGTTACGGTAATGAAGAACCACTGTAGCGCCTGTGTTAGACACGATTATACTATAAAGTGGAGAGAATCATGATGAATCAAAATTGGACATGGAATACCTACAGGTTTCTTTTCCCACTTTACCCTGTTTAGTAATTCCAATATGGCTATGCGCAGTCGCTCCTCAAACTCGGTCCCATTCAATCTTTCCTGGGCGTGCTCTAGCGCTGACTCGCAGGTGCCCGAGTAGAAGTTGTAGAAACGAAATATACACGCATTCATGACTTCAAAAAATCCCAGGTCGTTTCCTCCCACCGACATGAGCGCAAAGTCGACGGGTAGCGAGCCATTTACTACGAGATGTTGTGTCAGCCAGTCAGTCACCTCTCTTGTGCGTACACAACTGGGAAACGTTTCAAAAACTTCCACTCTACTCTTGCTTATATACCCAGAAAAGAAAAACAAACGATACCCAGGGGAGATGAATTATGCTTACGATTATTGATTTGACTCTCTGGGCTGGCCAGCAGCAGCTCATTTGTCGTCGCACCCGTGCATGACAAGAACTGAAATGATGTGTTGTTGAGCCCGCCTTGACTGGCTGAGAGATCTTTGGCAATGAGCGCCGGATAGGCATGCAGCCCTCGCCGGCATTCGTCTTCGGCCCCGTCGACGCCAGTGCCAATGCCAGCGCTATAAGAGTCGCCCAGGGCCACAAAGCCAGCGCGGGGGCGATGATGATGATGTGTCTTTGATAGTGCGGCTGCAGGAGTGGACCATTTGGGTACTTCCAGGGAATGCTGTTGGTCTAATACATGCTGGTAGCTATCTGAATGGGAACCAGGTCCCCATGGATTTCTGATTATAGAGGCCTCGGAGCGCCAACCTAGAATTAAAGTTAAAATGCCAAGCACGGCGTGCATGGTATCGGGTGGATCGGAGAGAGTCGTCAAGTCATGGAAAGCAAGTAAATCATGAGAGTCACAGCAGTGCAGAAATCGGCTGGGGATGAGCGAATATCTCTAGATGAAATTTGTAAAGATGGGAGGTGAAAATGGAAGGGATGAGAGGATGGATTACCGAGGGTTCAAAAAGTCATGTCGCATGATTTGTTGAGGTTGGTCGTTATCGGGGTTGGGCTGTAGGTACACGACTGATGTAAGCTGCCAGGCCGTAGATACCTAGATTAGGTGGTTCCAGCCAGCCAATCTCTTTCGTCCTTTGCGCACATGCAGAAACGATTGCATATGTCCGAACTCTTGGGCTGATCACCTGAGATCTTGAGCCCCGCCACGTTGCAAACCACCAATCAATGCTTATTATTATAGTCATCTCACGATAATTATCATACTTGGGTTCTTCCCTATTTCCCTTTGCTATTTCCTTCTCACCCTCCACCATGCATATGCCATTTCATCTTTGCGATATCTTCAAAAAGGACAAGACCGGCACTCTAGAATTCAAACTAGGCAAAAAAAAAAATACCTATCATGTAACACATCCTTGGAGGTATCAGTCATCCATTAGCGTCGGAGTCAATGGCGGCAGGGTCCTTTATATGGTTGCCTAAAATGTCAGCATCGTATGTACGCGGGAATGGGGACAAGCTATAAGATATCACAAAGCTTTCAAGCCAGGTGTCAGAGATCACCTGAAAGCTTGTGCACCAAGGATGTTGACCTAGTCAGTCAGTCAGTCAGTCAGTCATGCCAATTCTTCGCCGTTCATCCTGAGAAAAGATGACCAACTATCAAGTCCAAGGCTGCACCGTTCTGGATGCCGCCGGGCTGGCCCAGAACAACATGTCAGCCTTTTGGACAGACCCGACCTGGATCCTCGTATGGGAAAAGGATAGAACGCTCGAGAGCATAATACAAGCATGCGCGAGGCGAATGCCAAACAATCTCCTCAGTGATCGAGCCCACAAGCGACACATCAAGGCGATTGACGCCGAGACCGGTACCGTGGTGGGATATGCCCGCTTTCTCCTACCTGACGGGCTGGCTGGAGGCTGGCTCGAGGCTCAAACCCCAGATGTATCCGAGACAGACAAGAAAAGGTTTGATGAGCTGTTTGCGAGTGCTGATTGGACCTTTCGGCGGGGAACGGGCAACATAGACGAGCCAGTGCACCCCATCATGCAAAAGTACATGAGTCGCAAGGAATATATGGGTAAGTATTCCATCAGCAATAGCTATATACATGGAAGTAATCAAGTGTTGATGTAACTAATGGGCTTGACCGTGTCCACCAGAACTCGAGTATCTCGCCGTCCAACCCGCTTATCGTAACCGCGGAATCGCTACCCTGCTAATGCAAGCTGGCATTGCCGAGTCGGAGAGAATGGGCATTGATATTTTTATGCTCGCCTACAAAGCCGGGCTTGGCGTGTATAAGAGGCTTGGCTTTGAGACGTTGGAAACATTGATCTTGGATGACTCTGCATATGGGGGCCAAGGGGAATACGGCGTAAGCAACTTCCGATGTCATTTCTCTCCTTCTCTGGGTTGTCTCATGAGCAAGCATTGCCCAAATCGGTACTCCAAGAGAGCAGGCTCAGACAAATTACTTGGAAGAGCTGCTTCAAACTCATTTATCTACCCTAATGGGCAATTGCTAACACATGTTGTTGTAGTGCTACTTTATGGAGAGAACAGTCAAGAGGCAGTAGGAGTATTAATAGCATGTAGTACGTCTTACATGTGTATAGTTGGGATGTAGTTTAGACCCCATGTCGCATGGGATTGCTGATTCCGGACCAACTATTCTCCAGAGTATACTAGAAGATCCATCCAGGAAGCCTTACGACGAGGGTGTATAGTATAAATACACTCTCCCAGGTGGATCCTAACCTAGATAAGTTGAATGATCCCATCGTGGTTCCTGGGATGACGGGCCGAGCGGGCGAATATCGCAGCTCCTTCTTGCCAATCGGAAATGTAGTCCATATTGGCATGTACGTATAGTCTTCATGGCTTTCGATGGTATTTCATAATTTTCAGCACAGCCTTGAAATCTTTTCCAGGGTTGGATGGAATGTGCACCGAACACCTATCTACTCCCCCTTCGTGCTTGCACAAAAAAGCACAAGTGGCTTTGTCTACAAGGTATCCAAGTGTGTGTCCACGGTGCGTCATAACGTTTGGCCGTATGCCAGGACGGAAACAAGTGGCCGACGGACAGAGATGGCGGCTGGGAGGCTGACAACAAAAGTCGTCCAGCTGACAAGTTTCCTATCGGTGATGTCTTGCATCCAAGTATCTGGCCTACGGGACTGTCTTGTTCCCGACTCACCTCACTACAGCAGGGACATGTTGAATACAATATTCAGCTCGCGGGTGACAGTGACGTCGATCTTGCTGCAAATTGATGAAACCCCCGCCATACGTCATAGCATGGTTCAGTTTAGGGTAAGGTGAATTACAAGGTATACTGAGTGCTGACCCCACCTTTTCGGCCAGATCTGTACTGCTTTCTTTCTTCATACTACGTGAAAGAGAGAGATAGAGAGGGCCCAGAGGATTCTACTTGGCCCTTGAGTCCACGGCTCGTGACGAGTTCAATTGGCACTTCAAAGGAGGAATAATAGCCAAAGAAGTTATTCTATACCATTGCTATCGTGCCCCTGCTATATAGTAGTGTAGATTGGTTCCCTGGATCCGCTGGATCGTGATATTCCCCCCAATCCCCCCCATCCGGGTATGCAAGGCCAAGTCCCACTCACTGTACCTAGGTATGTATGCATGTAGATCACCAACTTCTTCCCCAGAACCAAGAATAGCCAAGGCAAGACCATAATGGAGTCCCTGCTTTGTTGGCCCGTTCTGGATGGTCTTTCTAAAGCCAAGATCGAGGAAACAAAGCCAATAAGCTCGTCGTCATCTGGCACCGCTTTCTGTCAACCATACATGATGGACCCGCAGGATAGAGACTAGGTACCTAGGTACCGTTGCGTATTGCCCAAAGCCAGAGCTGCTAATAAGAGGGAGCCGACATATGTAGCCCCCTTGTTGCTCGGTGCCCGCCTAGTTTAGCGCTGTTCGCTTCCAAGTCAAACCACCAGCAAAGACGTCACTCCTCCCCTCAAGCCGCTTGTGATACTCCCGTCCCTGATTAAATAACTACCAAGAACGACCGCCTGTTTCTTATCACTCCTTGGCTCTTTATTCCACATTCTTCTTTAAACGATACCATTGTAAACTTTTGGACCTTGCTTCTCACAAGCCGCCAAGCACCTCAATCGCACTCGCCAAGCCATTACAAAGTATATCATACACCTATAATCAACAAAAATTTAAAAACTTCAACCACCATGGATACCATCAACAGCATAGCCAAGACCGCCGCCAACGCTGTCTGGGGCCCCAACACGACCGATGGAAAGGAACCCGTTTCTGGCCACCAGGGCGACGTATCAAAGGGCGAGCCTTATGACAAGGGCAATATTGAAGGTACGGCCAATATTGCCAGAATTGACCGTGTCTAGATTGCAAACTTGCTGACTGCTCTCCGTTTTGTAGGAGCTCACTCTTCGGTGAACACGACCGGCGAATCAACACCAAACACCACATCTGCGGCCGCCCCAACAAGTGCCGCCGGCAATACCACTGGACCCTCCACGACCAGTGTCACTGAGGGATCCAAAGATGCCGAGTTTGCCAAGACTACCGGTACTGCAGCAGAGTCGAGCGAGGTGCCTGATAATGAGCGAACTGAGCTCAAGGCCAAGGACACCCCATCTGATACCACTACCGGACAGAATGATACCAGAGATCCCACCAACCCTCAGACCAACCCCAAGAACAACCCTACCGATGTGGACGACACTGCAGCTGGTCCTACCGAGGGCCAAAAATTGGACGGCCCTGGACCCAAGCCTTTGGATGAGGTTGCCAAGGAGCACGGCGGCGATGCCGGCAACTCAGACGCAGCCCTCACCTCTTCTGAGGGAAATACTGAAGGCAAGGCTGCCACCGAGTCGGACGACCCCAATGACCCTCATGCTCCCAGCAAGGGCGAGGGAACTGGTGAGAAGTACATCAAGAGTACGGGCATGGCTGCCGATGGCGGTGATTTTGACGCTGCCAATGCCGGCGCTGGCAGAGAGGCTGATCGTAAGTGTTATATCCGAGTCTCATGTAATTTGGTTAGGCAGGCCACTTTACTAACCAAGCCCTCAGGTCTCATGGAGGAGAAAGGCATTCACACCTCCAAGGATGCTCCAAAGGGTGAAGTTGCAGATGACAAGCACGGTAGCCCAGAAAGCGAGGAGAAGAAGAAGAAGCCTGGTGTTGTACAAAAGATCAAGGCCAAGCTTTCTCACCACTAAGCTTCCAGTCCAAACACTTGGAGTATTATTCAATCTGGAAGGTGCCACATAATTATGGCCACGGACGACATTACGACTGGATGACCAAATATGCAAACATTCCATGAAAAGGCATCCTTCTCTGGCCTATAGGCTCACTTGTATTAGTTAATAGTCAGATAATGATGAATCAACCATTAAATGCCCAACATTAATGTTATTTCAGGAGAATGTTATCACTTGCTCACGATACATAAAGGTCCTCCGATGTGGCACGTCGCCTCTTACTTGATGTTAGTCCCCGCTTCCAGGACCCGACCTTTGATTTAGATGCATGCCTGAACATTTCCGTAGAAAACAGCTCCTGGTGCTCTCTCACAGGTTATGTAGAGCCTATCACTGTATTCGAGTGTTATGGCTCGGTTGCGCTTTTCGACCGAATGTCTCCCATCTTGTCGACTTGTTTGTATCGTCCGCGCAGAGCTTCGGTCACAGCTGCTGTCGTGGTCGCTGCAAAGTCTTGCCATTGCTTGTGCTTATGGGAATCGGTCTGGTTGCAGACCCATTTGATCACAATGCTGGGCACCTCATCCCATAATTCCGCTTTGCCGTATATGCTAGTATTGTCATCCCAGATCGCAGTGCATTGCACGTCTCAGTGTCAGCCGTCAGGTATTCGGAACGTTTTCCATTATATTGTTTGGAAAGCCAATCACACGGCACAGCTTGTCCCAACAGTGTGACTGGAAATCTTATAGGATGGTTGTCGTCTACGATTTCGGATGCACCACAGGGTATGAATGCGCATCACAACAACCGAGTATGTCGAGCAAAACAGGCCCCGCGTACCCAGGACTTTCTCCAGCGGTCCGCCTACCCTGATCAGCTTGAACAACTGCTTTCACACAGGAAAGATTACCGGGACGCTCTCTTGGGTCTCGGCGGATCTGGAAAGACACAGCTAGCACTCAGCTATACACACAGAAGATGCAGTCACCCAACCTGCTCTGTCTTCCTTCTGGGTACATGCCGTGACGGAAACATCCCTTGCACAAGACTACAAATGGATCGCCACAAAGCTGGGACTTGCAAGCCATATAGACGAAAAGCATCTATGGGGCCTATGTGAGAAATACCTCGATCACGCACAACGGGCAGGAGACTGGGCACATTGCCATTACGGAGAAGAGAATGTCGCCAAGCTGTTCATGCGTGTATCTAGGTATCTTTATGATAGGGGAAGATGGAGACGGAAGAAAATTGTGGGTGATGTAGTCATGAGACTCCAAGAAAAGGTGCTGGAGGAACAACAATCTCGGGCATGGCGAGCCTGACAACGACATACTGCCAACAAGGAATATACGAAAAGGCAAAACAGATTGAGACAAAGATGCTGCAATTTCAAAGGAGAACACTGGGTAGCAATCCTCTATATATAATCTCGAGAGTATGAACAACCTCGCGAAGACATACAACAAGGAAAACATGAAGAGGCAGACCAAATATTGACGGAAGTTCTTAAATCTCAACCTACAACCATACAGCTTGGTGCATGATCATCCGAATACGATCAAAGCCATGTTCAACCCGGCTGCGACATATCACAGTCAGAATATGCTCGAAGAGTCAGAAGCAATCGAGATCGAAGTCTTGAACCAGCGACAACACATCTCGGAGAAGGGAACCATCCCGATACAACCACAGCCATGTTTATCCTAGCTTTCACAAATCATGAGCAGAGAAGACTCCAATAGGCAGAACCCATCTGAATCTAAGTTATAAATCTACGCCGACAGATTCTGGGACAACAACAACAACAAGAAGAATAGCATCCGTCCACGATCCAATCTATGGCCTACTTGGCAACATCTTTTCATACACAAGGGAAATTAGCAAAAGCCGAAATGATGGATATGGAAGTCTTGTAAAGCCGTAGGAATAGTTTGGCAAATTCTCCTCCAGATACTCTCCAAAGCATGAAGCCTCCCTACCATGTGATACATCGAGCCCACGAGAGTCAAGAGGCTGAAAAGATCAATAGAGATGTCTTGCGACTGAGGCGACTTGTTTTGGGAGGTCTCCCATCCAGATACGCTCGCCAGCGCATGGAATCTGGACGTGACTCTACAATCTCTCAAAGCACCTTTCTGTATTGTCCAATAGACGAGCCTCGGCGGTCCACGCATGAGCTATACATGGTGCGCACTGTATTCCCTGATGGCCTTCCAACAAGGACATGTGCAGCGAGACGGTGGCTTGGATGCAAAATGTCCAAGTACCTCCTCACGTGATGATGAAAGCAAACAAAGGAGGAAAGACATACACACACCTCTTGCGGATGCCAGCAGGAGATGGATAGTTGAATATGCCGGCAATTGCTTGTAAAGGCAGTCAACCCCAACGCTATAGGTGGTGCTGTTTGCAAACGTGCTATGGGGTTCACTTGCAGAAACAATGATAGACGACTCAGGGAAAAGTGAAAAGACTCGTCTAGTCTCGAATCCTCTCGCGACCTTTCCCGTAAAGTAGCCAATGAGCTCGCTCTTCTCAACGATAGGGTCCAAGTGTTTCCAACATAGAGGGTGTCATTGGTATACTCACACAGACTAACAAACAGGCAGTCAGGCTTGCTTGCATCAAGACAAGTCTGGGGTACATGAAAGTCTACGCACAACAGCTGCAGGATGGGGTGTGGAACCGTTACTTGATGTTACCCTCTTGCTTCCAGATCCGGAGGGGCTCTTGGCGGACTCTTGCTCCGCCCGCGTTGAGAAGTTTCAAGAAGAGCCCAGTACTCGTTGTATTACATAGTACACATCCTTTCTCTTGGCCAGAGCATAAAAATACATGTCCCTTCCTCTTTTGGAGAAGACGGAGAAGAAAGAACAATAAAACCCGCAAAAAAAAAAAAAATGGAAGAAAAAGAAAGGCCGGATCATTTTGATGCTTCCTTCTGACCGGGAAGAGATACATTAGAATCCCTGCCACTACCACGACGACGGTACGGAAAGATACTTGGTTACTTTGCATCAAGATCCGGGTAGTAGAAACTCACCTATTTGTTCAGTCGCCGCATACCGTGAGGGGGAGAAGAAGCAAAAAGTATAGCAAAAGTACCCCGCCAATCGGTTCAAGGGTCAGCATGTGTTAGGTACATACCTACCTACGCAGGTGGGATGGAGGTCCATGTAGTTCTGTATTCTTCTTTCCCGGGGCAACGCGGGGTGAAGTTCATTTTGCCCATTCCCTTATCCCACCGCATTTCTGCACCATGGGTCGTCTGTCTAGTACAAAGAATCCGCTACCGAGGTCTGCCGCAGTATTGTACAGTAATACATCTTTGATGAGGGATGACTATCAACGGCGATTTCATGCTTGTGAAAGGACCCGAGGCATCGCCGAATATTCACCATCTCATTCATGCATTTGTTGTCTTGCCTTCTAGTGACTGGGCGACAAGAAGACCGACGTAGTTTAGCAGCACAAGCAAATGAGGAACGAAGCAGATATGAACGGACGCTGGTGTATAACTTTTTCAACGCAACCGGTAGGCCGAACTCTCGGTATAGTCATATCATCTTTTCCCAAGAAAGAGGTAGCCCGCTTATTAGAGGAACATGTGTATTGTGTTTGGCTTGGCTGGGCTAGCCCAAAGCACAATGTCAAGTCGAGCCGGGCCGGCTGCCGTCTTACCACCACCACGACCCAGATCTGGGAACAAAAACATGGAAGGGGTCTGTCTCTTGGTCGTATCACAGACCCCCAAATTTTGGCAAGGAAAAAAAAAAAAAAAAAAAAGCCGCCTGGGGGTATATGGCAGTATTGATTGGGGCGCTTTGCGCCTCTTTTCGACTACGGGCCGATTCCAATGAGACTTTTATAGGGTTTTGCGTAAGACAGTACAAGTCCCGTTCTCTTTTGCATGCTCTTAACCCGTGTCGATTTGAGCAGAAGTAGGTGCAAATGACGAATCGACGATGATATTTCTCCAACGAGTGATACCGAACCCCGGATTGTACATACTACAAACATTAGACGAGATGCGCATCCACTGGGTCCTCGCTTGTGCTGATTTGGAACCGAGGCTGCTTGTTAATGCTACCTGACTGCGATGGTAAGTAGGTAGGTAGGTAGGGAGGGAGGGAGGCAATGGTGAATGGCCTTGTTCAACAGTGCTTGTCGTGCTCGAATGCTCCCACCCGAAGAAAAAGAAAATCAAACTCTCCCTTTAAAGTGTGCTGATATATATCATCAAGGGCGGCCTTTCATACATGGAATAAGTGTCCTTGTCCGGGTCACTGCATTGATTGCGGATTGCTTCAGAAAGATTTCCTGCCATGTACCTCCATATTCGAAGAAGTGTTCATCAACACCAGATGCAAGCCACACGTGTTAGCCATCATGTTTCAAGACCAAAAGTGACAAAATGCAGACACAGCACTGCAGCAGCCACTGCAAAAAATTGATTTCTCCGCCGCAGCGCACGAAACAGCCTGACCGGGGCCCAGAACAGACTCGTACACATTACGCATCATTATTCTTTATACTAATCCATGTGCGACCCTGACAAAGTCCCCAGATCACGTTCCACATGATTAGATGGGTACCTACTTACATACATTGTACAAAGGCAGGACCCAGTCGATAACATTCAGAACAAGTCTAAGTATCAAGAGCTCAAAAGGAATCAATGCTACTCGCAGTGTCTTACTACTCCAACAGCTTTCCCAAGAATTTTCTGCAATCGGAATACGCACGTATATATTGTATATATAAATATAGGTAGACAGGCAGGCAGGCCCTATGCACTCAACATGGTCTTGGACAGGGATGCAGCAGTCCGAGATACAAATTTTGTGCATATATTATTGCCAAACCTGCTCTCATATGAATCTCCCGATACAGAACGTGCTGCTCGTTTCGGCCTCCGTCCCATAGTACCCTAGTTCCACGTGCAAATGTGCAATGTCCATTCCAGCTCTTCGATTAAATCTCATCAAGGTGGAGGGAGTTTTCGTTCGACTAGCTCATGATCGAAACCCCTTTTTTCTTTTTTCCTGTCTCCCCCTTCCATTCCTTGCCCATTGCCTTGCCGAGTGCCGCATGATCCCCAACCCCTGCCTTTGCCGGTGGGCTGCTTACTCCTCTACAACTCAAACCGGTCACGGGCCATGCTGAAGTTCAATATGACCATTTAGTAGACGTTTTATGCTCAAACCGTAAAGTATCATGGCTCTCCACTTTCCCGCTTGGATTTTCGCTCAATAGGGCCTTCTGACTGCCGTATCAAATCCTTTGTCGTGTAGTGGTCTTGCAGGCCACTCCACCGAGACCTTTGGCGCAGATAGTACAATGAGCAGGCTCCCGTAGTCGCTTATCCCTGTCCACTGTCCTAGATGGAAAGCCACTTATATACGGCTTCATCCACACAATGGGCGATGCTCAGGGGCCCGGGATCCTCTCCTTCTTGCGCGGCGATCAGGGAACGGCATATTCGCAATGAGTCGCCCTGCTTAAGACCGTAGCGTCTGGGCCTGTCTGGGTCGATGCACTGCCTCATAGAAAGCCTGATTCGGCCAAAACCCTATATCACAACCATGATCAGTAAGCTTTTTGTTTCTTTTTTTTTCTTTCACGGCCGACGCGTCTTTTTACAGTAGCAGACACAGAGAGCAACTTCTCCTGGGAAGGCAATGCGTGTCCTCTAGGTAAAAAGCTAGTATGAGGGCGAGGATGGCATTCAGCCGTAATGCTACGTACCTCACAATCTTTTCATCCTCCCGTTCACGGGGTTCTACTTGCAAGCTCTTGTCGTACATCTCGTGGACATCGCCGGCAGCTTGCATGTTGGATAGGATGTAGTCCTGAAGATCAGGCACGGAATGCAGAGAGTAGGGTGCATTTTGATACTGCTGGATGTCTCGAATGACCTCTGCAGTCTTTGCACGCTTGGCGAAATTGATCAGGTTAGTCTTTTTAATAATTGAGGGGATTCCATCCTCAATGAAGGTAAGATCTGTCAGGTATACACCTACACAGGACGAGGCCAGATTAGCAATCCATGCGAATGAAACTCGCTACAGTCATGGGCAACATACCAAAGAAGGGAATACAAGGTGGATTAGCCGCGTGTAGAGCCTCACGATATTCACCAAAGTTCTTGGTACTGGCCATCAGTCGTCGCATTGTCTCCAGAGTGGCCGTGGTTCGAGCGGGCACCTGATCCCACGTCCGCTTGAGGCGAGCGATGGGCGCAGTACCCAAGGCTGAAATGATAGACGTCAGTGTAGAGAAGTTGTTGAGCAATCGGCATTTCTGTTTTGGGTCAGATGAAGTCAGCAATTATCCTTGTACACGGGGAAACACTTTGCGTAAACTTACGTCGGCTACCGAAACAAAATGCTTGATGACAACGACACGCTTCTTGACATCCATCTGAGCCAAGATCATCTCTGCTACCCAGTTCGTCATCTGGTTCGAATGAAGAATCAAGGCCTTCACGTTGGGTGCTGGCTCGGGCTCTCCTTCGCCAATCTTCTTCTGCCAGGTCTTGTTAAGGCATTCAGAAGGCTTGATCTTGCCGTAGAGCTTGGACTCGATAATGGTTAGCTGACGGGCGAATTCTGTGACATCGATATCCAAAAACTTGAGCTTCTTCATGTTCTTGGGCATGATGGGCGCAGGTATGTTATTTGTCAGCGTTTGAATCATGCGCTTGGAAGAAAGCTCCTTGCCGCTCAGGCGTTGGTCCAAAACGGCCATGAGAGGCGCCGAACCGGGCGTTTCTGTGGATTTGACTGTCTCTCGAGCGAATTGGTACACATCTCGGATCAGGTGTTTTGACTCCTCGTTGTTCTCCTCGAGCCAAAAGTTGTCGAACCAACTCTTCATTATGTTCACAACTCGGAATCGAATGGGCTTCTGCTTGCGATCGCGCCATATGTCAAAATCGATACTGCTCAAGCCTTCGGGCGGCTGAATGTTGAAGCGCTGCACAAGTAATTCGAACAACTCGCGCGCAGTTGTGAAAGACCGATAGGTAAGGAGGAAGGTGTCTTTGAAGTTCGAATCCAGCTTATCGTGCCGAGTGAGCTGCTCGACCAAAGCCAGCAGCGTACCTCCCTTTACGGCAGGAGGTGAAGTCTTGAGATCCCAAGACAGCTCGCTCTCGAGGTCAAGACGAAGGAAGGGAGGCATTTCCTCTGGGGCTTGTATGGCACCTTGTGGTGTTGGATCATCTCCGAGAATCTTCCTGACTTTGGATAAGTCGCCCTTTCGGTAGTTGTTCGTTGGAGCGTCGCCTTCGGTGAAAGACTGTGACGTAACCAGCGGTGGCCGCCCACCCATTCCGAGCGTGCGAGACTCTGCCCGGGCGTGCACGGGGTTGTATGGCATGGTGTCGCCTCTTCTGACTTGTTCGCGTTGATAAATGTCTTCGCGCGCGATGCTGCTGGTCTGCGTAATAACGCTCATAACCTGTTCCGAGAGTAGCTGCAGCGAGAATCCAATGTGCGATGAGTTCTGCTCCAATGCGCGGGCACATTGCTCAACGTACTTGAGGCGGCCTTCCAAGGACTCGCCGCGCACCTCTGCCCATTCATCGCCTAGCGGCCCAGCGACTGCTTGGCAACCGAGTATAAGGTCCGATATGTTATCGTATAGGCTCTGTTTGTACGTCATGTAATCGGAGAGCTGTGGCGTCTGGAAATTGTTTCCGAGAGAGGAGAGGTCAATGGACTCGATCATCTGAACCCACGGCTTGAATGTTTCCATGACCTTGCCACCTGCTGTACAAACGTTGTTGCCAATGACCTCATGCTTGTACGGTGTGATGACCTTGTCTGTCACGGTGAGGTACTTCTCAAGTTCCCTGATGCTGGAGACCAGCATCCTCTTCTGCTCGTCAAGCCTCTCCAATAAACGTCCGTCGAGAATTGCAGCGGGGTCCACAAGGCCGTCTTGTTCGTCATCCAGGAAATTTGAGGTGATGGGGTCCCGGGGTCCCAGCCCGTTGTTCTGCCAGCTACCGCCCACGGTGCTTCCAATGACAAACCCAGGAAACAGCCGGGGGATTTCCTCGCCCCTCTGTTGCTTTGCAACTTCAACGAAACTGAAAACTCCCATGAGGACACCGTCGGCTTCCTGCATACATTTTTGCACGGATTCGGCATTAGGCCAGTCGGCGGCGGCTATATGCGACGAGATGACCAACTTTGAGAACTTTGACATCATATCTCTAAAATGAGGATACAAAGCCTTGTTTGTGGATATAATTGAGGGCTGACCAGAATGGTTGTCGGTTGTCCCAGAGCCAGCGGCTAGTAGTAGTCGCAAATGATCAGATATGTCCTCAGCGCGACTCACATATTCGGCACGATTATTAGTCGTGATCGCTTCGCGGTACCGGTCGATGGCCTTCTTCATGTCGGTGACCAGTCTAGTCCATGTGAGGGGATAAGCCGATCCATCATCAAAGAATGAACGAGGAATGGTGGCAGCCTGTGGCAGGCTGAAGCTGGCGCCTGTGAAGGAGGTGGCTGAAGCCAGCGTTGGCGTCTGGCCGAATCCTGTTGCTGAAGGTAGGTTCGTGTTGATGAAGGTGTCCCCTCGGACGCGGGTCGCAGGCGAAGCTCCGTTCATAGAATCCATCGAGGGCGCCGGTGATATTCCCACCCCGTCATTCGTGTAGGTACGCCGAGCTCGTGACTATAGGCGACATGTTTGTGTAAGTAATCACACTGAAAATAAGATAACCCCACAGCCAGCAACTGGTCTGTCCAGTGCAGCAGGCATGTATTGTGATAGAACACTTACAGCTGAGCCTCGAGGGGCCATCATCAGTGAATCGTTTTCTAATTCGGATGCAGAAGCGGCTTCCGAGTCTTCGTCTTCGTCCTGGGTAAGGCCTCTAGCCATCATTTCAGGAGGTGGTCGCGTCTTTTCGGGCATATTGACATTCATTCGATCCATCGGCCCCGTCTCGTTGAGAGATGTCGGCGACTCCAGAGGCAGCTCCATGCTGCTTTCACCCGTCATGGTATTGTAATAGAACAGTCTGCCGTCGCGGGTTGCTTGTGGGATCCAAAATTCGGCACCAGCAGACTTGATGCCCATATCCGTGCCCTCTAGGGGCAAACCATTGAAATCCTCCTGGTCTGACTCATTTTCCTCATCATACTCTTCCTCATAGCGGACTTGATCTTCAAAGTCATCGTCTTGGGCAACCATCATTCCATTCTGAGCAGCCTGGGGCATCTCATCCGTAGCTGAGATGATTTGACAATAGTTACTTGGGAACCAGCCTCGAACGCCGTTGATCACACCATCCCACCAACCACTCTCGAGTTGTGTGATAACCTGGATGATATCACCCTCGTGGAAGCTCAGACTCGTGCGATCATCCGCCTCGTAGTCATAAAGCGCCCGCACGTAGATGGTGCCCGGCGGGGCGGTTCTTATGATGCCGTTCATGTTTGTGCTGTATGTAGATGTAAGAAAACTGCGGTCACCGTCAAAGAGGGCCAAGGATGCCGCGGCCGGATCAGAAGTGTCGTCTGCAGCGGTGTGGGCCTGGGAGCGTGGGTTGTAGCTAGTACCTCTTTGTGTCTGTCGTAATGCTGGCGATGGGGCCACAGTCATAAGCATCGTGTTACCGGCCGTGTTTTGGATGCTGATATCAGACTAAGAACCAGTGTTGACATCAAGTCATGGTCTGGTACCATATGCGCACAAAAACAAAGGAGTAAGTGACTGATCGAAGGAGCGAGCAAGCGAGTCAGTTGGGAGACCCCTATGCAATGCACGAGATCTACAAGCAAGAAAGCGCAAGAAGTCGTATCCAACGGGAAGGTACCAAAAAAATGAGCGGGAAGAAGAGAAAGACGGAAGGCAACGGCGACGAAGCAATTGTTGAGATCGTCGTCGTTGTCGTTGTCGTCGTTTACGGTCCCTGTCTTGGGAGTAGTCGTCGTCGTCGTACTTGCGTCCAGCCCAGCCCAGGGGGGAAATAGCGCGTGGATCGAGGGGTTAGGGAAAAGTCGAATCAGCCCCAGCAAAGGAAGATAGGGGAGGAGACGCGGCGTATGTAGTGTGCCGTCAATCGGACGGTCGATCCAAGAACAGTCCCAGAACACGACTCGAATGCCGTCGGCGGGCGTCGTTGTCGTCGTTGTTGTTGTCTTTCAGCTGCAAGCGCTGGCACAGAGACGAGACAAAATCGACGACTGTCGCGAGAGAGGTCGTGAATGGTTGTCGGTGGTTTGACCCTTCTCCTAACTGGGCGGGTAGGGAAGTAAGTTGGATCGCCCAATTCGCTGATGGGAAAAGGGAACTTGAGCAGGTCGCCCCAGACCCGGCTGACAGCTGGGGTCCGATGCTAATCAATCAGGATCCTTCCTAAGATACATACCTACTGGCGCTAACTGTAGATGGATACATAGTACATTAGGTACATGTGGTGTTCCATGGGTGGATGTGTGTGTTTGATTTTTTTTTTTAAAATCCTTGGAGGGATGGTACCCTGAAGACCGCCCCCCCCTCTTCCTACCCCCTACTGTGTAGAACACAGGGGGGGTTAAAGTACTATGGTAGGTAACTGGGGGTAACCTCAACCGTGGGACGCTGCAGTGGGCGCTCAAGTTGGGCGGGCCGTGTGGAGTTCAGGATCTAGGGATTTGGCCTGGTCCAACCAAAGAAAGTAATTGGATTCCGAGATGCAGAGCTTTTGTGATTCCTACATACTTTACGGGCCTCTTTCCAGAAGGGACTCCGACATTAAGCCAACTACCAACGGGGACCGACTGAAGAAATCATGTCATCGCCCGCTTCCTCTGACAGTTTGCCTTCATGTTGTGGTGGTGGTGGTTGCTGCTCCCGTTGTTCGATTGCTCAATCTGGGACCCGCTGGTATCAGGCGCGATGTACACAGTAGCCCGTGTTTGAACTGCATACGAACAGCTATGTACCTGGGACGACTAGCACAGTAGAGAATCAAATGTTGATATGATGCATGTGGATTGCATGTGGTCTGTCTGTATTTGGCGGCTGAGGTATGTACAGAGTAAGGTAGGCTCTGCATGCAATACACAGAACGCAATCGGGGCGATTTGATTAAGAATTTCGGCAGCTCGGCTTTCTCAGATAAATACATGTCTGCAAACATTACTGGGCAATATGGTATGGGCCATACATAGAAGAACCTAGCTCGCGGGCTGCTGCTCTACAAGCAGATTCTCAAGTCCATAATTCTCTTCCCGGTTCGAAGGATACTACTGTTGGAAAAATATAGAATACAAACAGTATTCACAGAATAGGTACGTATGCAGACTGCCCCGAACTGGCCGATCCTGACCGGTCGGTCCCTTGCCCCTCCTCTTCACTTTTTATCCCCTGCTTCGGGGGTTTCTCCCCCTCATGATCAAAGCACCCTAGCCGCTCCTTCAAGCCAGGTACATAGCATTATGCATACTTGGTTGCGGTCAAGTACAATAAGTGTATGTCGTACACCACAATACCTAAATTTACACCCAAATATGCCTTTATATACACATGGCTTCATGATAGGTCTATTCAACAAATATGTCGGTGTATATGCACAAATGCAAATTCGTACAGACTACTCAAGTCCTCAAAAGTTGTACGTAGTGGATGTTGTGGATATGATCGAAACAGGGCCACAAGGGGCCAAGGGGGCGCGCGCGCGAGAGAGAGAGAGAGAGAGAGAGAGAGGCCGTCTCTATGACCATTCCGTACAGAGTAACTACATTCCATTTTCTAGAATTCACAATGTACGACGAGATACCGTGACGGCTTACCATGAATAAATCGTGTGCGGGTCCAAGAAGAATTCAATCCTCTTCGCCAGGGCCCGCTGACTTATCCATCTTGGTATGTCTGGGTACTTAAGCGAGTAGCAGAGCCGACAAGTCTGGAGCGACACGCACGCTCGCAAAGGGCCACTGGTTGCAACCTGGGCAGTGCTTTCTCTGACAAAATGGTCAGTGTTGCGAGGGCACTTGGCCAGCGTACCTGGTGCGCCCATCTATCCTTGGAGTTGCACATGTGTTCTTTGAAAAAAGTGAGAGGCCAATCCATGAAATCGGTGCGCTTGCTAGTCCATATGTGTGACTAGGTATGTAGATATAATGTATGTAAATGTCAATAACGTACAAGCCGTTGCGGGCTTTGTTGAATAGTCTTCACAACGGTTGATCCATGTATGCCGTGTCAACCGGGTACACAGTAGGTAGTGGAGGATCTAACATCCAAAGGCCAAGTGCTTCATTGGCATGGATCATGTTGGCCCAAGTCCAAGGTCTCTTGGTTGTCGCGCCCAGAGGATGGATGGAAGTCAGAAACGGCCCGAGGCTCCTAGCAGATCTCACCTCCCTCTTGCCCTCCACTTGCCATGTATATAATATTACCAAGCCAAATCCCTCCATCCTACGAAGTCTTCAATGGACTTTGGGGCTTGTTGGAGCGGGAAATACCGTCTCGAGAGTTACCGTGTAGGGGCTGCAATGATCTCGGACAGGGCCTCAAAACGCATCGATCGGCTCCGAGTTTGTACCAACTTGTTCTGTTTACGCAAATGCGGTGCTATACTGACCGCGCGCGAGGATTTGGGAACAAAAATACCAATACATACTCTGTACACCACCGCGCTATTCTGAATTGACCGGGCTTTTGGGTGGGAGGATACTAGGTACCAATGACCTGCAGCTAGTACTCCTGGGACAGTCTTCCTTCCAATCGCCTAATTGCCGCGTGGGCATCTCCAGAGGGTCCCCTGTTATGCGACGGATTGCGCATGTGGAGATGACTTACACAGTACTGTGTGGCCGAGTCGTCAAACAAGCATCAATCATCAGATCAGAACCTGGAGTACGAAGTAAGTACCACGTTATGTAATATCTACCTATTGTACGGAATACAGAGAGGAGCTGCGCTTAGCCAAATAATCTTACCGACACTTTGCATGGTTAAAGATGATCTCTAGAAGAAAGAGTTGACAAATGGGAGCATCACCGAGCAGTCAGTCCCCACTGGCTGGCCATCCATGGATCGAACGATGTTCTTCATTATTTTGCAACATATTTGGAGACGCAGAAAAATCCATTTCAAGCTCAAACCACGGAAAAGTGTACTTGTTTTGCACAAGCTGCTCTTGGGCATTTCACCCTTGACAGTATAAGACCGTACCCGTACCGGCTGAATGGTAACCACAACACCCAGATATCAATCGCGAGACTTTTTCAGCAGCAGGCAAAGATGGCAAAAGCACAAGGCCCATTGCCTACGTAGGAAATGTCAGCTCTGACTCGCGACTGAAAGGCTTGTGATCACCAGTCACCGACGACTGTCCTCATACCCTCTCTAGTCTTCTTGAATCTTCGGGGGTGCTGAGGGACTGCTCAACTTGCCTTGATGGTCCCTGCAAGTTGCCTGTATCCAAACCCATGTCGTCGCAGCACTTTCCACGTAACAACTGCCGCAGCGGAAGAAATCGACATGACCTACTCCGTACATTATTCCACGGCACCATGCTCTAGTGCAGTGCTGTTTAAGCAAGATCCCGACAAGAGCGGGAGTGATTGCCCGTTATGATAATAGGCCAGTGCAGTGGAGTACGCCACACATTTTTCGGCGCGGATGTTAACCTTGCGCCAGACGGCATCCAAGAGTTCGGTATCCAACTCGGTTCGAGCTACGTTCGGCGTTCAGGTGGATACTTTGATACGCTACGGTCAACATTGAAGAAGCAACTTACCCTGGGAGCTGGCAAGGAACATTTGACAATCTTCTGCCTTCCAACATCAACAAAGTTGAAGGAGACAACGACCGAGTTTTGAGACTTGGTCGAGGTGTCAATCACCTCTGATTCTGTACCAGATTATCCTCTCACGATTTATCGAGCGAACAGAGTACGTCGCATCAGGTTTTTCAATGCTCTTTCCCTCAATGAATGCCCATTCATGCTACAATTTTCCCCTGAAACTATTTTCTCTTATTTTCTCTTGTTCCTAGAAATGAAGAAAGAAAGGTCACAGAGCACTAGGTCAATACAATGGGCCAAAAAAAAAAAATTTCCCGAAACACAGCTAGCTGCTACCAAGGTACGTGGTAGGATTGAACTCCTCTCCTATCGTAGGCCTCGGTGCCGGCCGATATCTGAGAGCCGCCGCTATCACAGCAGAGTCAGTGGCATGCGACACCTTCCCTTTTGGGTCAACTCTTCCTCCAGTCTTCTGGAAGCCAGGATAACGTCTACTATGTACAGACCCCACGTATCTCGGCGGTGCGGTCTCGCTTGGTACCGTGGCGTGCAGACTGCCTATGGATGTTAGGGCCACCAGGCTCGAAATATCTACACCTGGCTTCATCTTTTTCTCTTTCCTGATATAGCGCGCCCCCACGTTACCAGCGTCGCCTTGCTTTCGGCGAACATTCCGGAACGTTTGGGTATGTTCAGC